AAAACCCCAAAACCCCAAAACCCCAAAACCCCAAAACCCCAAAACCCCGGAGTTAGTAGGAATAGTTGAAATTAGATAATCTCAAATTTTGTTGCTAAATGATGATGATGTCTGGATTTTATGAAATCATTTCGATCTCGTCCTTGGCTTCTTCTTTCTGTTTGTTAAAGTACTCATCTTCTTTGTCTGGATTTGGGTTGAAATCCTCAATAAACTGGAGTAGAGGATCTCTGTTCTTTCTCAGAGTCTCGTTGACTCTTGGACCTCTGGATTCTTCCGGGGCTTTCAAGAATATCATCAATAAACTGAAAGCTTCAACGTTGATGGACGTGCTATCGTCGTTTAATGATTGCATCACGAACTTCAGATGATTCTTTTCACTCACAAAGTAATTGTAAAAGTCAATATTGTTTTTGCTATCCAAGAGGATCTGCTGGAGGAACGACATGCCTTCTCTTTTCACCAAGTAGTTCTCTTCATCGAACAGGTTCATGAAGACTTCCATTACTTCTGCTTTATTCTGATTTAAAAACTCTGAGACCTATTTTTGGAATGGTTATTTTAGGCATCGGTAAGAAGTTTAAAGGATTTTATTTGTATCTAAACATACCTTTTCTTGCAGTTTCTTGTCCTTTGGTAATAGAATCTCTTGCATGAGGGAAAGAGCTTCAGAAGAAATCTCAAAATTTGAGTTCAAGCCATACCCTGCGAGAACTTTGAAGAATTCTATGGTGAGAAAATGGTCTGATAGCTCGAGTTTTCCACACATCATTTTCACAATTTTAGCTGCTGTAGCACTCATTCCGGGCTCTTCAAAGTTATCCATTAATTTTTCAACAGTGTTGTCAACATGAGGATCAAAACTTTCTGCAAGGGGATTTGGATATGTATTAAGAGCAAATAGTTCACCGAATATGTCAAGGAGTTGTTTCTTGAACTCTGGAGGAAACTCATTAATACAAACGAGTAATCTGCTGAGTATCTCCCCCTCTTTACCAAACTCTGCTGCTATTATGGTCATATTTTCCTATGAGTTAATGCTAGCGGGATTACTGGCGTATTGGGACACTTTTTACACTTGCCACCCATGATTTCAAGCATTCTCTTATTGTACTTATCAAACTTATTTGAATGCTAAATATTGGGATTAAGCAACCTCAGAAGGAAGAAAAATTCAGGAAGACGTACCTTTCTTATCGAACTTCTCGTCCTGAATTGAGTTGAGGTAGGCATCACAAACTGCAAGGAAGCAAGCTACTTGCTGATCTGGCTTCTTCTTAGATCTTCCAAATAATCCAGGCATATTAAAATTCAATATATTTTAAATTTCTGGGGTTTTGGGGTTTTGGGGTTTTGGGGTTTTGGGG